TTCTCAGAGTCCCAGGACCATGACCATATGCACTCTGGGAATTAACCATGCCTAGTGGGAGATTAGTTCTTTGTACCATTAGATGGAAGCTGAGGGTTTTAGTCACCCTGAGGAGTGGTGTTTGTTAGATGGCCACTGTATAGCCTAGGATGGGGGCTGGGAGAGAGTTGCCCCCCGTCAAGAGTAAAGAGTGGTGCTATGTGGTCAGAGGTTCTTTCTCAGAACTGGCTTATTGATGGGCCCTTAGTGTTGTTTCTTTTTAAATTTTTATGTATGAGTGTTTTGCCTGCATAGATCTCTGTGTACCACGTTCATACCTGGTGCCAGCAGGGGCCAGAAGATGGTGTTGGTTCTACTGGAACAGACAGTTATGAGCAGCCATGTGGGGCTGGCAACTAAACTTAGGCCCTCTGCAAAAGCAATAAGCACTCTTACTTGCTGAGCCGTCTCTCTAGCCCCACTTAGTGCTTTAACAGAAGCTGCTCACTGGCTGAGACTTGGGTTCAAATCCTGTCTCAGTGACAGCTGGAAGTAATCTTGGTTAAAATAGCCTACACTCAAAAACTGTCTTAGAAGGGCCAGTGATGAGGAGTCCGAGGACAAGAGAAAGCACCCCTGAAAGTTGTGGAAAGACCTTAGCATCTTTCACACTAGCTTGGAAGATCTTCTGGGTTAAACTTGTCCTGTCTACTACTTCTCAGTGGTGGACTGAAGGTCTGTAAGTAAATTCACCCACCTGAACCTTGATTTTTCTGTCAAGTGAGGCTAATTATAACTTCACTTAGTTTCAAGATTGCAAACAACGTCCCACCTATGCTCCCCAATTATGCACTCTGCTGTATTTCATAAGGCCACTTGGCCTGTTACCTGAAGCTCCATAGCAGTATTGGGTCTACAGGCTTCTCAACTAGTAGCTCCAATGGGAAACTCACCTAGAGCCCTTTGCTGTGTGGCTGGTAGCTGTGCAGAGTCCCAAGACACCTCCTGAGTCTCCAGGTCCAGCAGAGAGGATAGGGAGGGCTAGGCTGGGAGGGGAAGAGTGAAGCTCTGAGGCTTTCAGCAGTTACTGTTAGCACACGTGTGGGCATAGGAAGTAGAGCCCAGGGAGTTTTTCAGTCATCTCCTGCTTAATGCATCCAGATGCATCCATAATTAGCCCTTGCCTCTGGCCTCCGGGCCCAGGTGGGCTCCAGAAGGCCGCACTGCCGCCAGACAAGAGGCCTTAAAGAACACCGGGCAGACAATTGGAATGCCATTTATCGTGCGAAACACAATAAAACCCTGAGCTCTCTTCCTGTCTCAGAGACCCATAAATTATGAAAATTATACCTGCCTGGGGCCTTGGACATATTGTTTTATTAAAGTTCCGATGAATAAACTTCAAGTCTCTTAAAAATGTCCTCCCGGCTCTTATCTGGCAGCACCTTCAGTGTGGGGCAGGCTGCCTGGGTCTTTCTGGGGGTTCACGTTTTTTGGAAAGCTAGATTCACTTCAAGCTGTTAATTAGCTAGGCTGGGTGGATGGCTGGAGAGCTGAGTGTACTGGGGGCTCTGGACCAGGGGACAAGGCTGCAGGAGTGCAGGCATAGATTCTACTTATGGGTCAGAAAAGCCCCCCCCAAGGCAAGCCCTTTGGGAGGGGGCAGTGCTGGAGACTGATGATAGGATTTTATACATGCTAGGCAAGTATAAAATCTCTAGCAGAGCCTGAGGCCCAACCTATTCCTTCTATAAGGTTTTGGACAGGAAGAGGGTTGCTTCAACTTTTGTATTTGGTCACTGGGACACTTTCCAGGTCCTCCATGCAGTACTTCTCCAAGTACAGCTGCAGAACCCTCAGTATATATTCTGTATGAACACTAATTCCCCTAACATCCATTTCTGCATCTCAAAGCAAACAGCATCAGGCAAAAAGTAACTCATCAAGTGCTGACCTTTGGGGTCACCCCTAAGTCATTTGTACCTGGAAATTAAGGAGGGACAAGGCCAGATGGAGAAAGACAAGTATAGCAGTCGTGGAATTCTCTTCTAGATAGTCTTGGCTTCTCCTTTCCCCAAAGACTATTTGGGTGAGTAGGCCTTTAAGAATGCAACCTCAACTGGGGTTTTTGTTATTAATCTCTAAAACCCCAGACTCAAAACATACAGTGAACCTGATGAGTCAAAACGTGGAACATTACTTGGGACCAAAACATTACTTCTATAGAGGTGGGACAGGTTGCATGGTCAGTATACAGGAGGGCTTAAGACTATCTTTATTCAAGTTTTATTGTAGACAGGACCACACTGAAGAATGTCTTTTGTGTACTTTGGGCAATGACCAGGGGATCCTTGACATGTGTTCCAAAGCCTCAAAGAGATACAGGGTTGGATTTTACCACGTCTTAAGATACCATCACTGTGACCAAAAAAAATAAAAGCCAGGCATGGTGATATGCCTTTGATCCCAGCACTCAGGAGGCAGAGACAGTTTGAGAAGGCACAGGAGAATTCTGTGGATAAGAGGCCTTAGGGATGAAAAGACCTTGTTTGGGGTCTCATTAGTTGCACAAACCCAAGGAATCTACTAAGATCTCTACTGCTTGGCGTCATGAAGCCTGTAGATTTGGGGGCACCAGGACCAAATTTTGGTTCTTTTCCCACCTCTCATTCTTCCAAGTTCTGAAGCTTTTTCCACCTATATTTCTAAGTGGCTGGGCATGGTGACGTACTTTTAATGCCAGCCTGGGCTCACATTATCTTGATTTAGCAAGGCTATCTAAAGAAATAACAGTCAGCTTTACTATGAAGTGCAAGCATCCTTCAGTGGCTTTCAGATTATTTTAGAGGTAGGACAAAGATCTTACCAGTCTAGACACCCAGCCCATTGTGTGCAATGTGTTCATGTGGCTTAGAGTTCTGACAAATGTGGAATTTCTGCTGTGTGAGGATGTCAGGCAATGGAACACAACACACGAGAGAATGGCAGTCACATGTATATTTAACAATATATATTTATAGATATCTTCTAGATCAGTACATTCAGTTTTTAACTTGTTTTTTCTTCACAAACAGAAGAACTCTTACAATAGTAGACTTTCTAAAATAAATACTATTAAAATAGAGCTTCAAAATAAATATTTTTTACAAAGGAAACCTTCTGTGGTAACTTTTGTGGTGGGGTGAAAAGGGGCTACAGTGAGTGGGAAATGAAACAGGGATGTGGTGGAGTGGGCATTGGGTGCAGCTCTACTGCTGCTAACATGAAATCAACCATGGGACAGCAAGAAAAAGCAAGGTAAGAAACGGCACAGTCACCCACAGCAAAAATGGAAACACAGGCCAGGCATTGGTGGCGCACGCCTTTAATCCCAGCAGAGGCAAGCGGATCTCTGTGAGTTTGAGGCCAGCCTGGTCTCCAGAGTGAGTGCCAGGATAGGCTCCAAAGCTACAGAGAAACCCTGTCTCAACCCCCCCCCCAAAAAAAAATGGAAACACAGGATTGCTATCCACCATTACAGAGCAGGGAGGGCATTGAACTACTTACTCATCAAACCCATAAACCAGGAGGCCAGTGAGGCCTCAATGTTCTAGCAAATTGTACAGTGCAAATTTGTGCTGCCCACACACCTCAGACGTTTCTTAAGAGGAGCACTGGAGACCACGCTGCTTCAAAGTGATGGGTACCTGGGTTCTGGCCCAGACGGACTTGGTATGTGTTGCCCCTTTGGGGTTGTGATCCAACCGGGCTCCACCAATGCAGACTGTTAAGTTCAAAGAACCCAACCACATACATCACAAGGATGCCTCCCATTGGTTGTTTAGTACCCATGGTAACAGTGAGGACTATTCTTTGTTCCCTTCCAGCTGGCTTCAGGAGCCTTGACTGTACTTTGGAAGGCTTTGCTAGTATAGACCGAGACCCCAGTGTACTCACAGGAGTGCTGGCCTTTCCCCACAAAGTGAAAACCAAGTAGCCAAGGTACTTTTTAGGCAGTGTCTTGGATACTATCCTCAGTTCCAGGCACAACTGCCACCAAGCCCAGGTGTATAAGTGGGAACGGGCTGGAACTTTTTAAGAGCTATAACCTAGCCAAGCAACCTGTTGGTGACAGCAAGCCACCAATCTGAGGCAGCTACAGAAACATTTGTTTGCCTGTAGACTCACTGCCTGTTGACTAGCCTGCAGGGTTGGGGACAAAATACCACTTTTGTGTTATGTGTTCTTTCCTTCTATAGGTGTTTGCCAGAGAAAAATAGAGCCAAGGAAATAAAGGATGCTTCCTTCCCCCCCTTATCTTTACCACCAAGCAAGTAAGCCCCAAGACAAACTTCTGGGGGTAGGGGGAGTTCTGTGGACATCATTCCCAAGGAGTTGGGGGATGTAAAGAAAAAGAAAACCAAAACCCATAAAAATCCGTGTTTACAGCTATGTACACAAAGTCAGGGTTTGGGAGGGGTTGCCAGGAAACAGGGTCTGTGTGTAGAGAGTCGGTGTGCATGTAAGTGTCACACGTGCACATACACGGCTTATGTAACTCAGTGGTCCAGAG